GGGGGGGGTCCAGTCTTTACTCCCCGGGGTGTACTATCGGCACGCGACTGTGTCATCGCGAGGATTACACGGCCCAAGGGGAGAAACCTCACACCAAGACAACGACAACGCTCAGGGTGGCGCCGCGAAGACCAGCGGACCAGTCGGTCAGCGGGGGGCTGAGAGGATAGGCGCCGGCGCCAACCGACACCCCCCCCCCCTCTCTCTCTCTCGCAAACCGTACAGTAAATAGAGACGGGACTGATGGCCAGACGCCGATTAGAGCGACACAGAGCAGAGCTATGTTTTGGCATGTCGAGCTGATTAGTTTTCCGTAAACACGGGGACGGACATCCGAAACGTCCGAAACGCTCAACAAGCACACACGAAAAAGCTTAAAAATAAACGTATTACACCATACACACAAATAGCTTATTCAAATATTTGTTAAACACCTTTTTTCCTGCAACGCGTTGTTTTATAGATTAAAAACTCGAGCAGGACGTTTCACCCAATCCATTTCACCCAAAACAATTCCTCCCATAATCAGTTCACCCCCGACATTTTACCCAAAGCACTTCACCCAATGACATTTGACCAAGTGGCACGTTTCACTCAAGCATTTATAGGTCCAAAAATTTCAAGTCTACATTACAACCAATAAAGAATTTACTTGAAAAAAAAAATCAACACGTGAGCGAATTTATCCAACCAGTTGGCCAACCAACCCATCCTACTTTACATGGACCGACTGTCGACAATTTTTAAAGCACAGATGAAGCAAAAATGCACCAAACGCAGTTCGAGACTGTTCCTGGGTGTATCTATCCCCCACAGCCTCAAGTGCCCTAGACATCATAAAAGATAGCGCTAGCATCCTAGGCAAGTTGACAAATGAATCCATGAGCAAAGTAGTTGTCTAGGCAGTGATTGCCGATAGCACATTCATAGTTTTCGCTTGTAGCCTTTGAGCCTTCGAGAGAAATGGCAAAGGGAAGTTGGAAACAAACTGGGAAAATAGTGTTGCATTTTGGATCAAATTGTTTTGGAACTAATATACTATTGGATAAAATATATTTGGGCCTTACTATTTTTGGGTAAAGCGCATTGGGTAAAATGTCTCGGAAAAACTGTCATTGGGTGGCATGGTTATAGGCGAAACGGGTTGGGTGAAACGGACCGGAGCCTTAAAAACTTGTCAAAATTTTAATGGACACGCGTCTGAATTTCAGCCTACGCGAGAAATACATAGAAAAAGTCTTTTTTTAAAGGTATGACGTCATACTTTTTGGTCTGACAGGGTGCCATAAAGCAGGCCGGCCTGGCAAGGACAGGCGTCCATCAGGTCGCACTGCAAGGCGTGGAATCTCGCCGACCAGGTGAAACGCCGCCACCATATCTCAGCCGAGTTCGGCGGGGAGTTGCGCGGGTCTCCGACGCGCGGGGCCCGCCTCCCGAAAGACCATCAGCGCGACCGCAACTGGCTCGCATCAGCCGCCCAGTTACGGCGGTCTCGGGCGCCAAAGGGCGGCAGCCGCAATGCGATAGTTATCGCGCTGCAGAGTGGCAAATTTTCTGTCGGTCCTGCTCCGTCGCAGTGATGTGTGGCTGCAGGGCGGCCAGCTCCCCGCAAAAATCTGGATTATTTTGCTAACGTTTGCGAGCAGCGCGGGGCGGTCACCAGGGAATTTTAGCAAGATCTGTGTTACAAGATACACAGCTCCGAGCACAGCCTTCTTCTGGTGTGAAAATGGGAAAAATAAACATTCTGACACTGCGACGATTTTATTTTATCGATTTGTGCTTCCTAATCGAAGGAAAAATAAAGCTGCTTTTTCGGCTTTTCTCCCCATTTTAATTATTTTTTTACCCTCTTTCCACACGTGTACTGTATTTTAATTTTCCCACCCTGCCGCTCACACGACCGTTCAAATAAAACAAGAAGGCACTCCCTTGCTTTCCGCTCGGCCAATTAACCTTTCCGATCCCATCCTGCTCCTCCTCGTCATGGACCTCGACAGCTTTGCGTGCGAGCAATGCCTGTATCGGTAGCGCACCTCTGCGTGTGAGGGGGCGCCTCCATCCCTGGGGCGCAGGGAAACATACCTCCGAGACGGGGGTACGAATATCACGGGCCCTCAGAAGGTGCAGGAAACACCTAACGAACTCATACGAATTAACTAGATCTATGGTATCTATATTTCTAGAATACCAATATCACGAATGGGGCCGTTTTGCGGAGGACACTGCTTTTGCACACAACCCCTACCCAGCGCAAGCAGTGTCTGCAGCGAGCAGGCTATACTCGCGAATATCCTAATTATGCGAGTGAATTCTTTCTGCTTCTGGCCGCACTTGGGTACCCTTATGGCCTGTCACCGCGGCGCCAGGGCGCCATTTGCATGATTACAACGGGCTGTAGGCTGAGCCCCGGCCCCGGCTGAGCTCCCGGCTGGGCCCCGGCTGGGCCCCGGCGGAGCCCTGAGGCTGCTGCGTGCGGTACCGTTGCGCGGGAGTATTTAAACACGCCCCCGGCGGCAAAAGCTTTTGGCCGCCGATATTTAAATGTGTGACCCCAGCCAGCCACGCCCCTCGCACCCACCAGCCGTCATCACAACAGTGGCGCACGGGAGACAATGGCACCGACTGCTCGAGCCGGTGGGCAACGCGCCGCGACCGACTTCGGAGGCCTTCCCTGTGCGCCAAGCATGACCCAGGTGAGGGGGGCTGCGTGCGAACACCCATAGGTCGTATAGACAGTTGGGGTGTAGTTGGGGGCAAGCCACATAATGTTCTCTTCGTTAATCGGAAAATGCATCCGTGTTTTCTTTCCGGGGAACACACTTTCATGTTTTTCGTTGGCCCGTCTGGCTGCTGGGGTCCCACTTCTTAGAACGTCCCGCTCCCCAACAGGTGGACGCCCTCCGCGCGCTCAACGCCGCGATGTTCGCCCTGAAGACGGCGGACGGCGGCGACCCGGCGGGGCACAGCGGCCGCGCGCAGCCTGTGTGGGGCCCCGTGGCGGAGGTGGCGGGGGGCCGGCCGTCGCGCGCAGCTGTCCTGGTGGCGCTCCCTCCACCGCACGTGGCCGTCGAGGAGCAGGACGACCCGGAGCAGGACGAGGAGTACACGAGCAGCAGCGAGGACGTCACCCACCCCGGCAGCCAGGACGACCGCGGCACGACCACGGTCACCGACGACGAGGAGGAGGAGGAGGACGAGGAGCCCCCGGACTCGGACACCTTCGAGGACGCCGACAACGACTTCACATCACCGCGGCCGTCGGTGGCACCCCGGTACATGTACCCGCACTTCAGCCCCATCGTGAAGTGCGCCGCCGTGCCGCTCGTCCACCCAGACCAGCGGGCGAGCAAGGTTCGGACACGCTCCAGGAGGGCGACATGTGGGGAGCGACGCGGAGAACAGACACAGGAGAGTCCGGTCCTCTCTGGCCCCACAGAGGTCGCCGGTGAGGAGCCGCCAGGAAAAATCACACGTCGCGCCGGCACGAAGGCCGTTCGTCACGAGAATCGGGGCGGGAGACGTTGGGGACGGCGACGTAGAGGACGGCAATGACGACTACGAGGACAGCGACGACGAGGCGCTCCCAGAGGACATCGAGGTTCCCCGCCAGCGGCAGCTGGGCAGGTCGCAGTCGACTCACGCGGAGTCAGCGCACCCCGACCATCCGACGCTAGGTTCACGGTCCGTCAATGACCTACGCCATCGAGAGGCGTAAGTCACCCAAAACGGAGAGCAACTACTTTCAGAAAGGGAAAGCGCGTTTTTACTTTAACACACACTGTTCCCCAGAACGTTTACGGTGCGGTCCCCACGGACGCGGCGGCAGGACGGCGATCACGCTGTGCTCCAGGATCACGACGGCCAGCCCATCAGCGTGCGCCGTGTCCGTAGTGCACTGCTCCATCTGAAGAGCATCATCGGGCACCAGGGCGACGACGTCCAGGTATCCGCCGCGGCGGCCGCGCCCCAAGGCTACGGCGGCACCCGGCTCGTCGACGACAGGCAAGTCGGGGACCAGGGCGGCCGGGGACAGCTTGCCCCCTATGTCGTCGGCTAAGCAGTGTCCGTCGTTGATTTCAGCGCAGCACGAAGACAGGAGCACGCCGATTGGTTCAGGATGAAGAGGAGGGAGGAGGAGGAGAGGCGGCGGGCGGCGCAGCGCGCAAAGGATGAGCAGGAGCGCAGGGAGCGGGAGGAGCGCGAGCGGCTGCTGCAGAAGGAGATCGACCAGGAGATCAACTTCTGCACTTGGAGACAGGTACGGTCCAGGGGGCTCGACCAAACGCTATGCATCCGCGTGACAACGTCAATCACACTGAATCTCACGCGTATTGTGGTTGCATGTGCAGAGAAAGGCAGAGCTTTTGGCGAAGGCGCGACAAGACGAGGAGGAAAGGCGGATGAGGGAGGAGCGAGAGAGAGAGGAGAACGAGAAAAGGGAAGAGGCGCGCAAGGAAAGGGCGAGTTCGGCCTACGAGAAGTGGTTGCAGGAGAAGAAAAGGACTCTCAAAGGTGACGATTCGGATTCGAGTTCTGTTTCGTTTTTCTCTTGCGCTAGGCTGCGTTGACTTGGCTAAACAGTCTCTAATTTAAAATCTAGAGAAGATGATGCGGGACGAGGAGGCCCGGCAGAAGCGGGAGCGAAGCGCGGAACGAAAGCGGGAGCTGGCCGCCGAGGCGTTCCAGAAGTGGCGCGAGAAACAGAGCTCCGCCAGCCAAGGTAAAGGGTTGTTCACAAGGACGGCCCATCCTTCAAACCACCGCGAGCTTAAACAACTGCGGTGCGGGTTATTGTTTGCAAAACCACAAATATTTCGCACTTTCCCAGTATTGTTTCGCACCCTTTCCTGCCAACCCGCGTTAATATATGTGAGCCTTTCAGCAGAAAAGCAAACATGGCAGCGCGCTATTTACCCTCACGCAGCCAGCTCCGCCGGGGTGCTCGCCCGGGCCCACCCCTTGATCCTCATTAGGGATGCGTGCGCCCTCTGCGCCCCGCCCCACCCCGCTCACCTTACCCCGCCACGCCCAGGGCCATGGCCGGGGCGTGTTGGGTTTATTGATTCCCGGTCAGCCGGACACCTAATATTTCATCTCTTCGATTAGCCCACGTGAACTTTTAGGCCGCTCACCTAACCCCTTCTATCCGCCGCATTTCTGCCCTACCGCCGCCCGTAGGAGGAATACGCTTAAAAGCTAAAGATCACGTGGCACGTTTTGAGGTTAAATTAAATGCAAGGTGTTTTTGTTTTATTTTTCCCCTCGTCTCATAGATGAAAAGTTATTTATTTTTCGGTGGCCCATTTTCAATAACGCCGTTTACCCAACTTTCGATTTTCTTCCAATTCAAGGACGCGTGACAGCCAAATTTGTTCCAAGAGAAACCGAGGTGCGCATCTGCATCACCTTTCGATTGCACCCCTTTTCAGACGTCCTGTATTTGAATCCGGAGCCGTGGGTGGACATCGTCCCCCCGCCGGCAGAGGGTGGCGCTGCGCCCCGCCGCAAGAGATCGCGACGGAACAGGTCCAGGTCCAGGTACTCACCGCTGCCCGCGCCTCGCCCCACCGCAGTTCGACTCCTCTGCCCTCCTGCTGATGCCATGTTTTTTTTCTGGATCGCCCTCAGGTGCCGCCGCTGCCGCAGTCAAAAGCTCCTGCAGTCTGCCGAGCGGCTGTCCCGCCCCGCGACCTGCCCCAAAGCCGAGGCCGCCAGGACACAGGGTACACTGCCAACAGAAAACGCAGACTTTAAACTTTAATCTGCAAAGCCAAATGTAAAACACGCAACGCAGACTGTTTAATAAGTAAAAACTATAGTTCATTTGGTAGTAAAAAGCGAAAACTGACAAACTAGAAATATTAATGTGGGAAATATATTCGCACCACGTAAAAATTTTCCATGCTATTATCATAAAAATTGACAAACTCAGATCGTAAAATTACAGGGACTTGAAATTGTACTAAAAAAACAAACTCAAATTAAACATTGAACCAGCTTGTTTTCTTCGACGAGCAAATCACACATTTAAGACTGAGTTCTTTGTAAATTTACGAGTGCATTGTAAACTATGTATTAACTGGGGTACAACTTGTGAATCAAAATTATGAAAAACATTTTCAATGGACGACGATATTTTCCCGTTTTAATTTGCAAAGTGTATTTTCGTCAAATGGACACATTTTCACATTTTTGCAGCCCCGAGGCGACCTAACAGCGAGAGACGCCTGCGCTTCGCCGATCCCCCGCCTGTGTCGCGCGATAGAGCCGTGGCTCACAACGTGAGCTCCATGTTCTGCCTGGTAGACAAGCGGAGGGACGCCCTGTACGAGTCGTACCGACGAGATGGCTTTAAAACACACTGAAATGGAAAAGGAACGCCTAAGTCAACATCGCCACGCGCGGGTGTTCTGTGCAGACCTGAGCCGGTGTGCCGGTGCAGGCGAGGACGGAGCAAGAGCAACCGACGATCTGCACGGGACCAAGAGAGCTAAACGACCAACGCTTACAAAGTGATAAGCGCTAACATAAAAATAAAAAGATTTTTCTGTAATTTCGCTTTTTGGTTCGAAATGTTATCGTCGGCATTGTTCCAGCGTACTGCCGTTTTTGTCATACTACTTCATGTTGTCACAATTAAGAATACGAGATCACGCGTCGCAGAGCCTACTAGATTAGCCGCATCCGTCCGTGGCTACTTTTGTTTGGCAAATTAGACGATGCACAAGAAAAATTGAGGAAATAATGCTTGATGGGTGGAAAAAAAAAACATACAGCTGTGTTGGGGCCACAATGTTACATGTAACGCATGCAGACTCACGCCCAGTAACGCGTGCCGAAAAAACCCTTAGCCGGACGGACAAGCACGATTTTTTCTTAAACTGCCAGAGATGAGCCGGGCGGGTCTTTTTTGGCGACTTGTGCGGGCGACTCATGTCGGCGGCCACCTAGCAATCTAAAAATCATGGCTGCTTCATTTTTTTATTATCATAATCTTTTTGCATTACCGATTACTTTTTCGGAGCGAAGATTGAATAAGGCAGGAAGGGGCGGGGGAGAAAGAGGGGACATAAATTGGTCTGGCCCAAAGGCAAGCCAAAGGACATCTGAAGCTATAATTTGACCAGTGGGGTGCTTTTCCATAATAATGACCACCAGGCCAGGTCATCGCAAAAGCCTTTCGTCGCCGCAGCGGTCGATATGCCACCGGTGTGTACGTGAGAGGGAGAAGGAAGGTGCGAGGGAAAGAAGAAAGAACAGGCAGAGAAAAGGGGGAAAGGGAGAGAGAGAAGGGAGGAGGTGAAGAGGAGGGGAGAGGGTGAGGTGGAGAGAGAGAGGGGGGGGGGGCGAGGGCAGAGGAGGCAGAAGATAAAAGGTAGGCAGAATGAAACGTCATTCGCCTCGACAGTTTCAGTAGCCGTGTGGCCTCTGGAATCAGCCACTGCCCCTTGTAAATCCAGGACGTAACCGGCGCCCCCTTTAATTAGACGGGCCCCCGTGAGTCACGAGGCCGGTGCATCGGCGCACCTCGGCGACGTAGGTGGCGCGGTGGTTAGAGGTCGTACGGAAAACACGTAACGCACTCTAGTTTGGCCAAGGCACGGGTGAAAAGTGAAGAAGGCGTAAGTCCTCGGACTTCCCATTGGACTTACGCCCTTTTCACTTTTTACCAGTGAAAAAGGTACATGCACTCAGTACTTACTGAACACATTCAAGGACGCAGTAAACGGTCTGTACATGCACATGTGGAGTCATTGCGGAACGCCTTTGCTGGTGAGTACACGCGAAAACCCGAGGTGGTAGGGTGCCAAGGCATTTACCTCATTCTGCGACTTTTGCCCTGGAAATATACCTCGTAGTCTTAAACTCAGCACAAAACGTTCATCAGGTAATACTATTCAGCAAAGCGAGCAAAGAAAACTTATGTCCACCAACCTCCTCGTTAACCTCAGAAAAAAGGAACAATATTTCCAACAAATAAAAAAAAAAAATACAAATAAACGTAAGCACACAGGAGCTGTCAGCGGAATATGATATCTGTGCCCCGCCCCAGCGGGTGCATCAGCCCAGCGAGTTGAGATGTTTATAGCACTATTGATTCATTTTGGAGCAGCCGGGCTTTGCCAGTTTTTGCCACGAGGCCCAGGGCCGCCTGCGCTGCAGTTTGGGCGGGGTAGCCGGTGCACCACAAGGTGTACCAGCCCAAGCTTGAGCGGGCCTTTGGGACCCGCCGCCGGGCTCACCGCCGGGCTCACCGCCGGGCTACCGGGTGGGTGGCTGACCGCCGCACTGCCCACGGGCCCCCTGCACCCGGCCCCGCCCCCGTCGTATAAATACCTGTTCGCAAAATTATACAACTACTGATTTGTTTTCGCAAGGGCCGTTTCGTTTGGTCGTTTGAGATACAAGGGCAAATATGGCGATTTTAGGTCACACGCTGAAAATCAAATAGTATGTTTAGCACGCGGGTATCAATCATTTAGAATGCAGATGTATCCAGGGAAAAGAAAGAGGGGACAACCCGTTTGCTTCTGAGTTTCGTGTACCGTGCAGCCTGTATTTCCTGATTTCTTCAATGAGTATTTCTATGCGCTGCTCAGTAACACGAGCTGTCGATGAATATTGTATCGATCTGGTATCGCGACGATAGCGATTATTTTTTACAGCCAGATAGTGCAATCATCGTTTGTTATCCAAATTTAACAACCCAACAATTCAAACTAACCAACACTCAAGTTTTTTCACTCATTATGAAAAACCTTACAGTCCGTATTTCTATTGCAAATCATCTCGATTGCTAGTCGATAGAAGTGGTCTAAATATTCTCCCTTTTTGCACCACAAAAACTGTTGGTATTGAACACGCTATTTCGGCCGATAACATTTACAACTTCTTCGACACAATCGATGATGAATCGACCAGTTCGTGAGACACGGTTTGCGTTTAGTTCAAGTATATTTTCTTGTATTTTCGTGCACAACGTGCTTTTCAAAAAGACCGCCCTCGAGAGCTTGCAGCACGGTTTAAGACGTCCTAAGTAAAAAGGAGCCGTTTGATGCATTTCTGACGCACTGCTGCGGGAACAACTCCCCGGACGAGTGCATCATACCTCTCTCTCCGGATGAATGAATGGCGCGGAAGAGACGCCCCCCTCCCTCTCTCTCCCTCTTTCTCTGTGCACAAGCTGCAGGGGCAAGTCCAGCAGCCCCCTCTCTCGGCGGTAGCCGTGCAGGCCGAGGTACAGGCGCCACTCGCGCGCACATGACAGCCCGTCAGCCGCAATGTAGCCGCACGTCCATCCCGCAGGCCCCAAAAAATGAAATGACGCGCCGGCGGTGCTGCGCTACACGACGCCGTGCCAAAAACGACAACGCGAACAGTCCCTGGAATCAGCGGGACGCAGCGCTGCTCCGGGAAGCAATACACTGAAGGGTCCCCAGATTATTCCTCTCTCATCTAGTTTGGTTGCGGCTGATGAACACCCCAAAAAAATGTGTTCTCAATTCATGTATTGCCCTTAAAATTTTGAGCCCCATTTCTTGTTTTAAGGAACAAATAGGACTTAGACCAAGAAATGGGGCTCACATTTTTTAAGAGCAGTACTTGAATTGAGAACACATTTTTGAAGGGTGAATATCGCGAGTGTTGCGCCGCACTGCACGTCCACCAATACCAATGCAGCTCATTTGTTTCTGCCTGTGGGCCTTAAAACGCGAAATTAAAAACAAAACAAGTCGACTACCGTCCATCAGGTTCTATCAGAAATGAATTCAGATCACGAGACAATCGTCAGCAGATGGGTTAGAAAAGAAGGTCTTTGGCGAAGCCAAACATTGTACAAGTCCCCAAGGTTCCGTGCAGTCTTTTCTATGGTGTTAAGTCGTTCCGTGGAAACTGTGGGAGTCATTTCAAGGCTGGTCCAAATCCAGGAGAAGGTTTCATTCATTTTCTCGCCTGGCACAAAAAGGTCCACGACGACCGAAGGTGGACAGTGGTGAGAGAGTGTGGACGCATTGCAGAGGAAGAGAGAGGAAATAAGGGAGAAGGATGGAGAAGAGCCGAGAATGACACAATAATCATTAGCCAGCAATGCGATACAGTCATACGCGCTCACACACACACACACACACACACACACATACACACGAGGAGCAAGTACACCAAAGGAGACCAACCAGCCAGCGCAGAAACGGTAGTAGGCATTTTAACGACCTCAAAACTCACCAGCGACGCAGTGGCCGCACCGAAAAACAAACGAAAAACAAAGACAAAAGCGTCGCGCACCTCGCGACTCGTTTGCCTCGTTTCCTGCAAGCAGCGAAACCGCACCGCGTTAGAGAGAGAGAGACTGGGAGAAAACAATGTGCGTGCTCGTGTGTATGTGTGGGTATTCATTCATTGATAGAAGCTGCCTGGATGTGAATGACTCGAGTGCAATTACTCCGCAAACACATTCCCGTGTTAATCCGCCGAGTCCCTTTACTGGAAGCCCTTCGCTTCGACGGATCAACGGTACAGCGTTACAGCAGCGAGACGATGATCTGCTGCTCCTAATACAAGCTCTTCTAAAATTTGCTAAAATATCAAAGTTTATTTTTTCGTTATTTCATACATATTTTTGGAAGGATTATCATGTACAGAAACTATTATAAGCGTACGCGAACTTTTAAAAAATGAATTTGCCTTTGCAGTGAATTTTTAACAGGCCATAAGGCGCAAAAACACAGCCCGGTCCACAAATAATCCCCTCTCACCGTCTTCCTCTCTTTTCCTCCGCCATATACGCCTGAGTTATCGTCAGGAGGTATTAAACGGCATAGCGTTCATGTTGCGCGCGGGACAAACAAAGGAAAGTCAAATGGGCGCCAGACAAATACAACACCCTTAAAGAAGAAAATAAACAAAAAACGCGATAAATATAGAGCTGACACTTCAAACGCTCGGCGTTGCAAACTGCAAAGCAAACGGGAATCAAAACCGGCGCCAGACCAGAAGGTGTCTCAAAAACAAATACGGCCTGCATCCGGCACAGTTTAACCAGAAGAAAGGACAGCGCGGATCAGCAAATTTTGAAGAAACTTAAAAGTGTATAGGTGTTTCCTTCCATGCCGCTGAGCGTGCAACATATAGGGTTGCCGAGGGACATGCGGTGCGATCTGCTCAAAGAACGAACGGAGTGGGTGGAAAGAAGGGCGGTGTGAGGGGAGCACGGGTAGGCATAAGAAGACGAGACAGCGGCAGGCATCGCAATTTGTCGACATATATTTCGGACTGACGGACTGCAGTTGCATTCTGGCGCACCGCCGCGCGCCGTTCCGGGGCCGCCGCTGTCCGCCGTTTGTACTTTGTCGTCGGCGTGGCGCTATATTTCTCATACCAAAGGCTCGGTTACACTGAGTTGTCTGGACAACGGACTTGGCACCCCTTGCACTCTCTTCTTGCCCACAACGGCCCATACCAACAGGTAGGTCGTGTTCATACCAATTCTCCGAGACAAAATTAATTTAA